ATACCACTCGAATTTCATATTAAGAAATTCTTTTAACCCAAAAAGCAAATTATGCTCCCTTCGAACTGGTTGTCTTTAAAATACAAATCTTGTGTAATCCCAGGCTATCTGTAATCAGAAGCACTTTTAAAACTGTAATATAATTTAATTTCATTCACATGTGTTTAATTTCGAACACTGGCTGGTTATGTACTTGCTCAAATATTGATTTTGGATCATTTTTAACCAAAAAAAGTTACGGACTGCAGCTTTAATAAAAGCCGATGTCAAAATCGTTCCCTTTTTTGAACAAGTTCTGGAATCATTAAAGAACTAGTTTAAAACTTTCCCTTAAAATTTCCTGTCAGTTTGCAGCATCTGTTAGCCCTCCAGCTGTGCGACTGCAGTGGACACTTTCTGGATATCGAGCATTAATAATTCAGAGGTGTTGTGTGTGTGGGTCGTAAAGTTCTCTTAATTCAATTCAAGCGCCGTTCTGGATTGTAGCAGACATCTTGATTTTACCCCGACATAATAAAAGCGTCTCTATTATAAGGCAGGAGAATTAATATATGTCATAGCAGGCGGTGTCGTCTAAAAGATTTAGCTGAAGTGTGCTGGAAATGTCAGAACAGGTTATTAGGAAAGGGTAATGCTGCCCCCTTGGGAGAGATGTCGAAGTAGATGAACAAACGTGCTATCAGCAAAAGTGTAAGAGTATGAACGATATCAATTCTCACACAGACCCTTGGGATGTGGTTTAATGTCTCACACAAGCTCAGTGGGATAAAGGCAGCCACCTTTTTTTCTTCAAGTTATTTAAAATGGAATCAGGTGGGCCAAATCCATTGTGGCCTTTTAGGTGTGATGAATAATTGATGACAAAGCCAGTGAAAGAGTGATCTGGCTCTTGACTCATAGGAGAGCATCAGAAATGGCTTTAATTAAGACTTTATCGACTCACATTGTCTGTTGACAGTCTGCTTTTCAGTCTGTAACCAGGATACCGCTTGGCAGGTCATGAATAAATGCGCCGTTAAGCTTACCTGACATATGTACCCAGCTGAAATATATTATTTAGCTCTATAGGGCGTTTGGCACCACCAGCAGTCAGTGATATTATTATTTTAGGGAGACTGATTTGGAACAAAACATAATTGAAGCAGATGCAGTGGTCCTATCGGTGACACCTGTTCAACGATGCATGCCAGACTATTTTATAATTACTAGGGTCTTAATAATACCTGTTTATAATGTACATAACCACAAAAAATTATGTTGAGTCATACTAATCATTAATTAAATCATAAAATGAATAAATTATTTTAAATATAACACTTGAACCAAATAAATAAAACAAATAAAACCCAAATTTGAAGTATCTTTTTTGTTTACCTGCATGTCAGTGTGAATGTGTTGTTAAATTATTGAAATATGAACTTTAAACTTCAGGAGGACTTCAAGTAAATATTTTATGTCAAAGCAGTTATACTGACAAAAAAGTTTGGGAATCCCTGCATCGCACGAACAAACATTAATAAACATGAAACAGCAATGACATGGTCAAAGTCTTCCAGGTCGGTTTTTTAAGTGTTTAGCAAACTTGCATAATTATTCATCCAATATGAGGTATAATCGACTGAGAGGTGCTTTTGTCCCCAAATTCAGGAGCATGGATTGCAAATTAATTTACATGTCATTTACATGCCCATTCTTTATTGTGAATACTCACTGTATTCAAAATGACACATTCAAGTTTTCTATAAAGGAAAATTCAAAAGAGAAAAAATAAGAATTTATGAAATTACTATTATTAATATCATTATTCTTATTTTATATCTAAAGTCGTCAATTTAATGGTTATTTAATACAATCGACAGATTGAGTCTGAGGGGAAAACTGCAGGTATCACTTGAGTGAGCTGAACAGGTTAAACCATTTAACTAATGCTCGAACAATTGAAGGTCAGTGGTAGATAATTATATCCAAGCGACAGGCTTGTACATGATGAATTCTTCCTGTTTTATTTGAAATGCAACTTTGTTTTACATAATTATAGAATGTGCCTCATGAGTCACTCGTGTAATTTGTAATGAGAGGAAGCATGTAGTATGACTCACTTGCTCAGCATTTAATAAACATATGGCTAGATGAAAATCTAACTAACTAGATGCAGAAAAACTATATTTTTACATAATCTGATGAAAATGTGTGCTGTTTGCCCATGCAAAACACTGCATCAAGGTTCTAGAGTGTTCTATGGTGATCTTGGTTTAATTTAATACATGGGGTTAGAGTTTTGTTCAGGTTTTACATATTTTTTTTGTTAAGTTGAGCTCCAAATGATTCACTATACATTATGCACGTATACTATGCATTGTATACTCTACCATTTAAATTGTTCAAAATGTTCTAAATTGCCACTACCATATGAAGTTATTTTATTCAGTAATATAGCACAGTGTATAACAGTTTGTTTTCAAATGCTAATTTTGCAGCCATGAAAATGAAAAGTGCCATAAAAGTAATACAAGTATTCCAGCTGTGCATCTTCAATAATATGATTTAGCCTGTGTAGCGAGACATTTGGCATTTCATACAGTGACAGATGATTGGATGAGGGCGACACTTCACCCGCGGCCTCCTCTTTCATGTTTCCTCTGTCTCCGGAGCCTCCTTCAACACATATGTAAGACTCTGAATCCTGGAGGCTCTTCTTCAGAAGCAACCACTTCAGGACCATCACTTTCCTTTCGACATTGCTCTGAAAGGCTTTGGGCTTTGGTGGTGTATTTCATACTGTATTTACTGACTGAAAGAAGTATGTTTCTTGAGGTGTACTTGTAACCCAGACAGCAACATAGTTTTGGCCCAGATCCGGCCCACATCTGGCCCATGTGAAATCCATGCGGGCCAGATGTGGGCCGGATCTGAGCCGACACTGCTTGCTGTCTGGGAAGTGTCGTTTTGATTTCTCACTGAGAGTCGCTCTGAGATTTGGCATTAGAAGGACAAAGGGATTTTAAGATTCATGAATCATATTACCTCTTTTTCTGAGGAGAATCATGCAAATCAATATCTTTATTGGTCCTGGAATGATTTTATGCCATTTTTCACTCATTTTGATGTGGATTGTCTCTTGCAGGGAGGCTCCATTGAGAATAGGAAGTCAAAACGTTGTTTGGAATTGGTGGAAATTGCGGAAGTGGATCATGGATATCAGCTCGCCCTTCAACAGTGCAGCAGTCAAAAATGGACAATTACCAACATATTGCCTGGGAAAGTTCTTTAGGCATGTTTATCTTATGGGACGTATCACTGGATGTGTGTGGACTGAGATACAGTGTCCCTTACACACATTGTTGTGTCATCTGCTGGAGGGAAGGGTGCTGTTCTCTTGTTATTTAACACTGTAAACATCTTCATGTCTTGTGTCGGACCTCAAAGAACACATGGAACAAGTGTCAAACATTTAATTTTGTCAAAATAGATGGCTGGTTTGGAGACACTGATGCTTAAAGGGATAGTTCACCCAAAAATGGAAATTCTGTCATTATTTACTCACCTTTTTTTATTTTGTCTCTTTAAATGTTCTGCTGTATGATTGACTTTTGTGTATTTAAGCATTTAGTAGTTTTGCTACTGTGTAGCACAAATTTAAAATGTTTTTTTCTCAGGTTTGTGAATGATGATTGTGATTATTTGATGTGGACAACAATATTTTATAAATGTAAATAGTATTTCTAAAAAATAATAAAGACTTTTAACTCATCATCTGAAACAAGCTGGTTTAATGCCCCAAAACACAAGTCTAACCCGCTTGGAGGCCATCTAAAGCTGGTTAAAACAGGGATTTCATCAAAGTATGGAAATTTAAAAAATAACAAATGCTGTGGTATAAAAAAGAAAGTTCAAGCAGAAATACTCTATTCATACAGTTTCTCTATTCATATGAAGAGAGTTCTGACATTCACAGAAATTAAAGCTCCACATTCACAGTTCAGTCGAATTCATTTCTGTCTTCTCATCTCCTGTGGGACAAAACCATCGTTTTAATCAAAGTCAGCAGCACTTGACATCTTCACAGACCTCTGAGCTATCCAAATCCCTCAAATCTCTCAAACACAGACACACACGTTACTTTAACAATGAACAACAGTTCTGTCATTTCTGTTTCCTAGAAAAAAAGAGGAAAAAACATGGGAAAGGTTGGAACCCCAAATACAGAACTGGAGATTGTTGCTTATTATATTTAAATCACTGAAGTGTTTCTTTGTTTATGCTATTTAAACAATTCAAAACCTCTAAACATCATCTTGGCAATCTCTTGGAAAAGCAACTTGCAAAAGCTACATCCCCTGAGATGGGAAATCTAAATGAGTTTTAGAAGTGTATTTGTCACTAAGTCTCAAATATACATCCTTGGGGGGAAAAAACACACATCCACACTGAAACTGATCATATGAAACAATTTCTCATCTTCCTTCTGTTTCTGCACTTCCAGACCTGTCAGAAAACCAGAAAACCGTTTCCTCCTGAGATGATAAAACTCCTATTCTGACTGACCTTCTGAACATCTTTTATGTCGGGAAACACAATGGTTGGATTTATAAGAGCAGACATAGGAAAATTAGGTATCGTTCAATTCGATATACCGCTCTGAATCTAACGAGATCACTCTTATGATTTTTGGTCAAACTGTTTAGGAATTATAAACAAAAATGTCAATTTTTTTATATCTCTTGACCAGTAGGTGGCGCTGTGCTGAAACTACTCATGTGCCCTCAGGTCATGCTTGGTATAAGTCATACCATGTTTAGTCTGAATCTGCTAAAGTGTTGCGAAGATATAGCCTCATGTCCATTTTTGTGTGAATTTCGTCAAATTCGCTTTACAAAATGGCTTGGTATATCAAAAAGCTTTTGATAACTTTTTGTTAGATGATCTGAGACAATTTTGGTGAAAATCGGACAAACCATGTAGGACGAGTTTGAAAAAGTAGGTTTTTCACAAAATTCAAAATTGCAAAATATCTTGACTGTAGAAATAAAAATTTTGCATTCAACTCAGCATGAGCAAAGGAATCACAGGAAAAAATTATTTTGCTTCTAGACCTTACAGTTCAAATTTATTAACAGAAATATGAGTGCAGATTTGACCTATTGGTGGCGCTAGAGAGTCTGAGATAGAGACTCCAATTTGCTGTGGTTAATATTGAGACTGTCCTCTATCTGTGTGACAAATTTCATAACTTTCCCGCAAGCGCTTCTATGGGCTGCCATAGACTCCCAGAGCGGAAGAAGAAGAAGAAGAAGAAGAAGAAGAAAACGGATACGATAGGTGCCTAAGCACCTTCTGTGCTTGGTACCTAAAAATATATTTGAGTGAGCGCAGTTTAGTTCTTTTAAAATATTTCACACTTGTGAGGGAACGATGGGTTTACTATTTCTATATTATTACTATTTCATTTTTAGATTGTAAAGCTGTAAAACAATAACATTGCAGTCTGTAGTGACTACAAATGGTTCACTACATCCATATGGCCTTGATGATGACAGTGTAAAATCCTCTCCCTGTCCTGCTGTATTTTAATGCTGAGTAACCAGAAGAATTAATTTAGCAGTATAAATTCTGAGAATGATCATTAATCAAAGGTATTAAGGCAGAACTGTCCCCGCTTCACTGTCTCATTGATGAGAGTATTAAAAGTGTGAGAAGTCCAGAGCATTTCGAGAGCTTGTTATCAGGCCTGAAAAGTGTTGGGTTAGCACTTCTGAACCTCATAATCCCTCTGGCTGGGAAGCCAAACCCTCTGAGTTTATTAAATTACTGTATTCCTCCAAGGGCCTTCCACTTTCTGCTATAGTGCTTCTACATGAAGTGTTGTGCAAATGGAGCAAAGCAGTTAGAATACTGAACATGGCGAAAATGTTTATATTATAGTGAACAGGAAATAGATTTTTTGGCAGTAACATTATTCACACTACATAACGTTCTGCATTTTAGGTATTTAATGAAAATATTGCCGCAGTGGTTTGTACATTGTAAGATAAGGTCACATTTACTGTCGTTTGGCTAATTTTTACAGCGAAATTCAGTCATTTCAATAGGAATTCACACAATCGGGAATTTTGCGTAGGAGCGAAAGATTTACAAACAGAGATTTTGCAACGGGTTCAAGTTGATCATGCAAATTCACTGAAAATTCACAGAAATTTTTTTGAAAGTGATTTCTGTGTGTGTTGTGTTTTATACATTGCTACACTACTGACAATAAACAATGGACTTTTTTGCCTGCAAAATTTTGCTAATACTTCACCTCAATGGACTATTATTAGCAGGAGGCAGCTAAGATCCAACAGACCACCATTAGAAATCCCTATAAAAGAGTATAAAAAGCAATATTTTCTCCGAAACACTATATAGCAGAGTTCCTCAAATCTTGCCCTGGAGGGCCAATGTGCTGCAGAGTTTAGCTCCAACCCTGATCAAACTCACCTACCCGATTTTCTAATGATCCTGAAGACATTGATGAGCTTGCTCAGGTGTGTTTGATTAGGGTTAGAGCTAAACTCTGCAGGAAAGTGGATCTCGTGGGTCAGATTTGAGGATCCCTGCTATATAGCCTTTAATTAAAGTTATAGTTCAGCCAGAAATTAAAATTATGTTATTAATTACTCACCCTCATGTCGTTCCAAACCCGTAAGACCTTCGTTCATCTTCGGAACACAAATTAAGATATTTTTGATGAAATCCGAGAGCTTTCGGACCCAGGCAGCAACTCAACTGACACGTTTAAGGCCCAGAAAGGTAGTAAAGACATCGTTAAAATAGTCCATGTGACATCAGTGGTTCAACTTTAATTTTATGAAGCTACAAGTATACAATACTTTTTGTGTGCAAAGAAAATAAAAATAACGACTTCATTCAACAATTTCTTCTCTGTGTCAGTCTTCAACACGCATTCACAAGAGTACCACGATGCATGTGTGTGATGCTGCTGAAGCAGGAGCCAGCGCTCTGACGTATTCTCATAGCTTCATAAAGCTTCATAAAATTAAGGTTGATCCACTGATGTCGCATGGACTATTTTAACAATGTCCTTACTACCTTTCTGGGCCTTAAACGTGTCAGCTGCGTTGCTGTCTATGGAGGGTCAGAAAGCTATTTTTATTAATGACAGAATTTTAATTTTTGTGTGAACTATCCCTTTAAAAACATTAGCTAACATTATTACCTAATATAGTAGATCATTTGCAAATGTTCATTTTGTTCAAAATGGCATGAAAATATAAGAAAACTGTTAATAACTTTTTTCACAGACTCGCTGGTGTGTTTTAATTCACCGCCAGGAGGCTGAAAACTCTGGATTTAATGTTTGATAATAAGCCTGTGTTTTATGTGTTTTAACGTGTATCCTTAATGTAAATGAAGATGTTTCCTATTGAACAGACAGTTCCATAACTTTACAATATCAAATGTTAAAAACAATGAGATTTGGTGCCCTTAAATTCAGCTGCATTGAGTGAGGTAAAAGCATATGGTTTTTAATTCTCTTTCATGGGCAAGAAATTAGCCAGTCCCATCTGGTGCACACTGGCTCATTCAGACATTCCAAGAAGCACATTGCTGTTCGTTTGTATGTTTCTCTATTGGCACCATCTGCATTAATGGAAACTGAGACAAAAGGAAATAATGACAGTTCACACAATCATATGTTGCTCAGCGTTCCTGCAGTGGTGGATAATGGAGCAGAAAAGAGTTCAAGCTTGATTAAATGGATTCACTAGCAACTGTGAAACCATTTCTGAAGGATGCTGGCTGGAAATCGCAACAGAAGGCAATAACAAAATTGTCTAATTGCCATCAGTTGACGGAGAACAAATTGTTTTAGTTGAAAAGACCACGCCAGAGATCTGCAAGTAGACTTTGTTGGCCCAGTTTAATATGAAGATAAAAATCACAGCTGAAGGCAAGAGCCCTTAGGCTCAGACAGACATTTGCATAACTAAATTAAGGTTAGGCTCTTTTTATGCAATCAACACATTTTTCAACCATAGAGGACATGTTCAACAAGAAATGTGTTATTTATTTCAGCAGTAATAAAGGTTAACCAACCTATAAAAGTTAAGGTAAAAGTAACAGATTTTTTTATGCATGACCCCTAGAGGACGCAGTTCGAAGTTCCACGAAAGGGAACCTTGAATATCCCATAATTCATGAGCTGTCTCCTTGATTTCTTAATCAAGTAACACACATTTTCAACTTCAAAAATTCAGTTCATTTTCAATTCATTTTCTGTTTTTGATCAGCTTTAAGGTCCCAGACACAGAAGAAAACATTTTCAGAAGAGCAAGAGGGTATAGTCAGACTTCACCTGGCTGAGGAATTCGATTCGTTCAATGAAAGGAAGAGCGCACCTACCCACAATGCCGTCTGTCCTGACTTTGGCCTGGAGCAGGTTTGTTTCATTTGGCATGCTTGGCAGGTCAGTGAACTGAGGTCTGTG